TGACATTCAAGTCCAGTTCAAGTAATGTATGAGTGCCCAGGAAAGTAACACAGTATTTGTATAATTTGTGCAATTTCTACAGAACAATATTTATTTAAAAAAAAAGGTGCAAAACTAGATGAAAACCATTCTATACAGTGCTAGAAATGGCACAAACAGAAAGATTTTTATGATGGGTAGGAGGTAAAGGAGATGAAGGAACTTTGTGGCATTCAGGGAAGAGCTGGTGCAGGACAGCAAGCTGAAAAGGTAGTTGTTGGAAGTACACACACCAGCTGCTCAATTTTTGTTCATATCTGGCAATTGAACGACTATACTGAATGTGCAATAAGGGATTTTAAGGGAAAGAACAAATAGTACAGCAGACTGTTAAAATGGGCTAGAGAATAACTGATCCAAAACTGAACAGCATGCTTGGTTTCAGATGAAGTTTGTGAATGGAGAGAAATCTGAGGGGTTGGGATAGGGAACTGGACTCTGAAATGCACAGCAGGAGTCTGAATATCTAAAGGTGAAGGCAAACTAATAATCAGTTTGGATTCAGTACAACTGATAACTGAATCACTGCATCATAGAAAGGTTGAGGTTGGATGTGACCTCTGGAGGTCATCTGGTCCAACCCCCCTCCTCAAGCAGGGCCAGCCAGAGCAGGTTGCCCAGGAAGAGGCAATTAGTATGTGGTGACCGTGCTCTCCTGGCTCCAGGATGAGAACAGCAGTAGCTTTGCGCTCTGGTAACTCACTTGCCACCCAGGATGGAGAGGGTTGAAGTCATGGTCTCAAGATCTGGTTTGTGCCCCAAAAGGAAACACGGTTACAGGGTATGAACGAGAGGGCATCACCCAGGGTGCATCTACAGTGGCGTCTGGTTCAAACCAGAAGCATGTTTCTGAGCAAGGTCTCCTGCTAGTTGGAGTTATGTCAACATTTGCTGAGCACATGAAGTAGATTCCTTCTACTTCCTTCCTCAACCCAAATACCCTCTCAGAGCACTTCCCCTGCCAAAGGGCTTCCAGTCCATAGGGCCAGACTGGAAGTCATCCAAAGTAACCCTCTCACCCACTCCAAAAATACATGGAGTGTGGACATTGGGTACTTGGCACCAAAGGTTTTGCTCTGCAGATCTGTTGCTGTGGGTCTGCACTGCTTGCTAATGCAGTTGTAACCACAGAATGCAGATAGTGGTCCTGAAATAGATTCTGAACCACAAAACATTTGAAAATTGACCTGCTATACAGCCAAAAAGTTGCAGCAGACGAGCTCTTTACCAGGTCTGGCTTTCCTGAATGACCCTTTCTATGATCTCTGTTTTGTGATGAATTTAAGGATGTCAGTGAACTTCTAGAGTACGTGAAGTTTGCAGAAACTGTACACTCCAAAATGGGTAAAGTTTACATAATTTAAAAAAAAAAAAACCAAAAAAACCCCTGTACAATGAAAATGTATAAAGTCACCAATAAACTTTTAAAAGATGAGACACATCTTTACTTTGTAATCCTAAGAAGAAAGTAACAGTAACTCAAATCTACTGCCTCTTTTAAAGTATCCCATTAGGTTCTGGTCCAAATAAATAAAATGGGATATGGAATATAACTGGGATAATTATCGTGAATAGGATTTCAGCCTGTCAGTATCTGGGAACTGTGGAATTCAAGGTTGCTAAAGAATATGAAGTAATGAATGTCTGTAATGAAAAGTATTTCAACAGGAACATTAATATTTCTTAAAAGATAAAAAAAAGAGACAAATCCCAAAGCCATCTCCTTTGAATTGCTGCAATGAGACTGAGCAAAGAAAAATTCCAAGAATGTCAGTAAAATTGTTTTAGGTTGATGTGAAAATCATCACTTACCTACAGTAGTTAAAATGCTATTGTATCCAATCAGTTAATTATTTTTTTCTTTTCTCTCCACTGTCCTTTTTTTTTTTTTTTTTTTTTTTACTCTGTATTTTAGACTTTGTTGGGATGAAAATTGAAACTTCAATGCAAATCCCTACGGGAAGGTGGTTAAAAACAATACTCCTACAAAAAGCTTGCAATATAGCTCAAAACAAAGACAGGAGTAAGCAGGTGTTTTGTAATTAATGATATTCCTATATCACCTAGAGCAATTACCTGCCGTTGCATTATGGCAAGTAGTTTGAGTATCTGTAAAAGAGAGGTAGAAGGAGAAAAGAATAAGAGGAAAATTTGATAAAAAGAGACAAAAAATCAAGGGATACAGTCAGCACAAGCCCTTGAGAAGAGCTAAGAGTGAAGACTAAATGTGTGATAGGAAATAGGCTTGTTGCTGGTGTGAAGATGCCATCTTTATGTCACAGGAAACAGGAGTTTGTCCGCTCTCTTTAGACAATCTGGATTGTATCAAAAATACCTGATGCAGTCATTAGCTTTACAACAACAATTCTTTGGGGAGAGAAAGCTGAGAATGGATCTCGTTTTTCTTACAAGTTGAGGTGAAGTAGATTGGAAAGCAGACAAAATAAACATGGCCCAGAAATTAGACATGGGGAAAACCAGCTCTCTTAACCTTCAGCTGTAGGTGATCTTTCCCTGCCAGTTGGGCTTACTGACACTTTCCTTCCCTTGCATTTTGTTCTTGAGGCATGAGAGCTGTGAGGACTCCCTACGTCCCTATCTCCTTCTTGCCCAGTCAAATTCTTCAAGCCCCACCAGTAACCTGAAGGGAAATACAGAGATGAGACAGGGTACCACGGCATAGTCAATGATGTGTCCCCAAAACACCCCTGATGCCCAGGATGCAAAACTTAATTTTTTTCACTGATACAAGCAGCTTTCAAAAGATACCTTGAATTCTGCTGTAGTTTGGACCTTGTATGGTTCACAGGAGAGTAAACAAAACAGAAAATCTGAATTTTTCTGGGTTTTCTTCAGTCTCTATGTTTCTTTGCACCACTTTTTCAGTGGCTCCTGACATGACACTGCCTGATAACATCTGGGAAGATGCCATCACTGTTTTCAGTTATTTTGGTACAGCAAGAAAATTTGGGAACATGGTTCACAGTTTTCTGTACCCTTTTTTAAACCTGGATCTACTCTGTGTGCATTTGCGTTATTTAAGGTACATCATTTAAGAGTCTTTTTACAGTATTTCAGTATAATGGAAAGCAGAGATTAAAGAATTTTTCCTTTCTTATTCAAACATAGTCTCCTTCTTTCTTAGAATATTATAGAAAAAGACACGAAGGTGGAAGGTGTGGAGCATATTTTTTGGTACAAGGACACCTTTTTGTTTTTACTTTTATAGGGATATAAGCAGTGCTAAACCTATAACCGCTGGGCTTAGTAAACTCATTCTATAAAGTCCTTTTACTTCTTTCTCTCACAAAATTCAGCCCTAGTGATGGAAGATTTTCACTACCTAGTTTTACATGATCATACCATTATTCAGTAGGTAGCCCACAAGAAGGCCTTTGTGTCAATACAACCAGGAATGGGATTTGCACCTGGCTGTTTCTATATAATGTCATATTTACCTTACAGATCTTTTGTTAAACTCAGATTGAACGTTTATTTCAGTGCAGTTTCTCTTTTCTCCAGCTGTGCTATATCAAGGTCTCATTCTAGGAAGTGAAGAGCACAAGGCCAAATCTCATTGAAATGACTATTCTTTGTGCTTGTCAAACACATCTAAATCTTTGTACTACTCTATCATCTCCCGGCTGTGAAGAGAAAATTTTAAAGCTTAACCCCTTGTTCAAAACTAAACTTGTGATGTGGACTCCCCTCAACTTTTACAAAGTTAGCTTCCAGAGTCAGAGTAGAAACATTTACAGAAACATATTTTTACGTGGATTGAACCAAAACTCAAGATTATTAACTCCCATCTGGATTTTCAGCTTTCAGTTTAGGACCACCTTGTGAAAACAAGCATTCAAAACTCAAGATTATTAACTCCCATCTGGATTTGCAGCTTTCAGTTTAGGACTACCTTGTGAAAACAAGCATTCGAAAAGAAAAGAAAATCAGAACATAGCAGCCACCTTAAATTAGCAAGTCACTACAGTTTTTGTATGACCAATGTGACTGTTATTTCCACACACCCCCCCCCCCCCAAATAGTTAAAACATATTTAACCTAGAACTAGGACTTCCTGTAAAAAACTTAGCTTAACAAAAGTACCTGATAAAGATTCTCATCCCCAATGCTGAATTTTCCTATATTGCAAGTTCAGTCCACACCACAAACTCAGCTTTCACATCATATTTGGGTCCTATGTCAAAAGAGGATTTGTCAGTTGGTAATCACATATATATTGCTAAAGCTTGGCCAATGCAAATGCCGCTTTACCAACATTCATTTATTTGAATGACAATGTCAAGTGTCTTGGGTTTTTAATTAAACAAATTCAAGAATACTCTAGTAATGTTTAGGTCTGTTGAAATGTTTGAAATAGCTTACAATTTTAGGTTTCTTGGACAGTCATGGAAAAAGTATAATTAATGCTGACTGATCATAAAATCAAAATAAATACATGTAAGTTAAAAAATAAACCAGTTTTCTAACTCCTGTATTCCATAAAAATAGGAATGTAGCCTTTTATGAAGAACTGCCAAAAGAGACATGAAAGTGCTGTGCTTTCTCTGTGGACACAAAATTGATAAGCGTAAAATATTCATACGATCTAGGAAGACAAGATCACTGAGATAATACCCTATGGCAAGTTAGACTGAAAATACTAGCAATGAAAATGCTCTTTTTTTTTTTTAAGAAAAGAAAATGTGGAAGTCATTGACAAAATTATTACATCCAACTAATTTACATTTGAATGTGCCTTAGTTTATCTCACATCTCTTTTACCACAAATAGTAATTCTACAATAGCTAAAAGAAAGTGATGTGACTTTCAGTTATATTATACAGTGTATAAAAAATGTCCATGTTAATGCCTGTCATACAATCACAGCTGTTAGTTTTTTTAGTAGTATTTTGAAGACTCCCAGTCACTTCCAGCCCCCATACAAGCTCCCCCCACCCCCGTCAGCGTCCTCTCCTTCTTCGCTGGTTCTTGCTTGGGGTCTTCAGGAGACTCTCTCGATATTTCACATTTGTGTGGAACAGTCGGACCATTTCATGGTCTTTGTTATCCAATACTCTGGGCAGAAAGAGAGACGATTTCTGTGTCCTGCGAGTTTTAAAGCCCCTTCTGGGTCGTCCTTTCCCATTGATTGAGACATACCAGAGTCTCTCTGCACTGGCTTTGCGCTTGGTGCCAGCTCTGTTGGGTACAGTCCGGTAGAGACGGGACGCGTAGGTGTTATAACCCAATTCATGGATCCTCTCCACGAACTCACACTCTGCGTTATAATTTTCCTGTAAAGCAAACACGACAGAGTTTAAGAAGGACTATACGGGTAATAGCTCTCTTCTACCTCAATAAGGTTGGACTAAAGTCTTAAGCAAGACTCTATTCAGTTTTAGGATAAGGACAGCAACATGTGTGATAAGAAAAAACTCAGACTGGTGCTACCAAAGGCGAGCAGAAGAGAAGCACTGAGCCCGAACTGCTGTGCAACAAGGAGAGCTCCCTGTAGCAGTGTGAGCATACTCTGTGGGTCAGAGACAGAGAGAGGCCAAAAAACAATTTGAAAACAAAAAAATGGCATGTGAATAGGAATTAATAGCTCTGCTGATTGTTCAGGTGTAAATTTAATGTTTTTGTGTTTGCAGATCTAAATATGCCTGTGAACTGGACAGATGATTTAATTGCTGCCTATCAACCTTTGACATCTATTAAAAAAGTAAAATCCTGCAGTTAATATAAAATGTGGTTCTTCAGTTGGTATATTAGTAGTTAGATACACCTGCAGTCCATTACATCCAGTTTGTTATGGATATTTGAGCAGTAAACAACATCTTTATGAAGCTTCTTTGCTTCAGCATAACAAAATGAAAGTACACCCCGCCCACCAGTGTGTTCCTCCAAAATGCCAGGCTGCTCCTGTATCACAACTGTAAGGGATAATACGCACCGATCCTGGGTGCTTTCATTTTACATGATCTGTCAAAGTTTGCCCCTTCTCATCTGGTCCTCAACTGAGAGAAAACAGTGTGTAAAAGCCTGGCACAAGGAACTCCCTTGTCCCTGGGAGCTGCAGAAACAGCACAAATAAAGGACCTCCCACACTGTACATCTTAACTACATAATCATCTTTGCTGTACCTGTGTGATTAAGACTTCAATATCTAACATATGTAAAGCACGGAGGCAGAGGGGAACTGTTACCATGGTCTTTACGGAGGTTTTTTATTTAGCATTGCCTCTCCTAAGGACATGGAAAGGGCACAGGTAGCCAGGCTGGGGCCAGAAAAGCCGTAGGCTCCATTAACAACATGTCTTTAATGCTGTTCTCTCACCAGAAATGCTGATAGGCATTTAACAAGATTTTAAAAGACTCCACATGTCTTGGCTTCACAGCTGTAAAACGGAAGTGCCCTTCCTTGCATGGACAAGGTTTTCATATGGTGTAGTGCTGGAGCTCACGCAACTACCATATGTAGGTAGATTTGTCCTGCTGTCTGCCTCAGTTCTGCTTGTAGAGGGTTTCTCACAGAGGATAAACCTAGAGGATTATCACAAGCTGCTAAGGACACAAAGGAATTTGGCAGACTCAACAAACTAATTTTATTGACTTGGGAAAATTCGTGATCCAAAGGATAATGGAGTTATTCCAATACCATTTCATAAAACACTCCCTGTATAATTATCCCCAAAGAAGTCAGTCTTATTTGAAATACGGGCCTTGCACAGGTTCCTGGCACAATAACATAGGTAAAGTCATTGGTCGGTCTTTTTGAGGCCGGCAAAGCCGGGAAGTTTCTCCTGAGCTGGGCCCTTACACAGCTTTTTTGGGAAAAAAGCTGGAGTGGAATAGCTTTTCCTGGAGTGTCTCTCCAGCTCTGAAACACAAGTCTGAAACAGTCTCTATTAAACCTGAGCTGGAAGAGCAAAAATTATCTTTTCTAGTTGTACAGAAACCTTTCATGGCTGATATTCCTCAGCACATGATGGCTGAACAAACTTCAGGATGGCCTGATGCTCCTGACAGTAGAAAGGGAAGTCCAGGAGAAAAGGACTCTCTGGGCTATCCTACTCTAGGTCTTTTTTCCACTCTAGGAAAGGAGCTTTTTGCTCAGAATTTGTTTGGTCTTATTTTAATTCAGTTTAATTAATCTGGAGGAAAAACATACCTATTTGGAAGAAGAGATAGAGAGAAAGATGAGAAAGAACTTGAAAATTTGTCTTTCCCATCAATTTCTTTGGAGTATATGCTGGCTCTGAGCTGATGGAGGAGCTCCATTGAAAAAGATGTCCATTTTAATCAGAATATAAACTGGAAGCACAGAAGCAGCCAGCCTTAGCTCTGGCACAGCAGAGCTAGTATATCCTCATTATGTTTTTCTTTGCCAAATTTGTTTGTGATCTTCTTCTCTGCACCAGCAAAGAACCATCATCTTTACACACAGGCCTTTTAATCAGTGTGCATCACATGAGACATGTTACAGAACCTGGGTCGTAAACACTATCAGAACACTCTTGAAAAGGTGGAGTAAAATACATTAAACTAGGGAGGCAACTCAGTTGATTGTATTACCTTGGTTGCATTCACACGGAAAAGTTCACACTGCTTAAGGATATATCATGCTGTTCAAATCAACAGAATTACAAATAATGACTAGTTGGAGGAAGCAAATTTCACATAGCCATGTTTTACCCTCTTCAAATCTGTTTCCATACCACAGGATTCCTGGAGCAACTGCACAGTATGGCTGTTACACAGTAAGAGATCACAAGATTGCTAGGGATGTAATCAAAGACAATGGAAGAAATTCAAGTAGGTAGATATAGTATACACACTGACAAATACAGCTTAGTATGTCCCTGAATGTGAAGAAGTCTAAGCTAAAGAATTTTGTTCACTAAGGGGAAATATTAGCTGGGCTGAAAAGGCAAGACTCCCACTAGTATCAGTAGAGCCCAGATTTTACCTCAAAGATGAGGACAAAATTAACGTCAAAGGAGTAGAATAAGGTGTTTATTTTTACCTTTATCCTCTTGCACCTTCTCGTGCTTCCTTTCCTTGCTATAGCCCTGCCTTTTAGTACCTGTAAATTCTTTCACTGTCCAACCAAATGCTCTGCACAAAGAAACTCCCAGCAGTAGGCTGCTTTCCCGTAACAGCGATGCTCAATTTCTTCTGGATATCCTTTACCTGACGTGTACCCTCTGCCAGTGCCCAAGATCCACATGAACTATAAATATGGTTAACTTGGAACAGAGATGGAGGTTTTGCACTTCAAAAGCTAGCTCCTGAGGACTTTATCAGTGCACCAAATTGCCCAGAACTTTGGCCATGTGAAATACCTTTGCCAAATACATTCTTCTGCCTTTGGCTGTACCGGCAATAAGAAAGTAAGAACACAGGTTCTTTCCACTTTTAAAAATATACGGATTGGTTGGCCGTAACAATTCCAGACAGGAATCTGTTACAACATTACTCTTTTCTCTAGAAGTGTTTATTTATAAGAAATCAGTGCTCCCCACTGGACCTGTTCTCCCCATAGGAAATGACAGTCATATGCCAGTCTCAGTAAAACTTACTGATGCATAAAGTCTGCCCCTTTTGTTCATGGCCAGGTATCTGCCAGAGAACAAGCCCTTGATGGCAACGATTCCAACATCAACAGCAGTTATTTCAAGAATACCTGGAAACAGAAACAATTATGAGATATGTTGTTGCTCCCCATCATGTGTAATTTTTTGAGATATGTTTGAATGACTGCTTACCTGGAGAGTGTGATTTCACAGCTATCACTAGCTCACATCCAAATCATAGTGCAATCATGTGAATGAAACAGGACTGTTATTTGAAACAATACAAAATGATGACAATGTGGGAATTCTTTGAGACAAGCTTGACAATAAATCCCTAGATGTCTGATTGAGATTGAACTCTTAAAAAATGAAAAAGATCTGACACTGAACTAGAGGTTCACTTAATCCTATATGTATATAAAAAAGTTTAAATCCTCTTTAATGCTTAAGAACACAAGAGCTCTTGACTTATTGAAACCAGTCACAAAGCTGTCCATTTCAGGACAAAGCCCTTGCTGAGGTCTCCAGAGGGTGAACCAGAGTGAGTCGGCTGCATTTTAGAGCCATGTATATAATCATGAAAGGAACTTGTCATTTAAGAGGTCAATGTAGCCCTCCAGACAAGGACAATATGACTGTCCGAGCCAAATTAAAAGGGAGGAGATTTTCAGGTCATCAAAGATGGGGTCTTAAACACAAGAAGAGTGTCACAGGCCAGGCTGGCACAATACCTGCCAAAATGTTTATGTCTGGGCAAAGGTGCCATGACACTGATGGAGGCACAAATGCCTCGGGAGACATTGCGTTATACGTGTAAGGGTCTCTAGCTGGCTCACTCAAACTCTGCTCTCAGTTCTCCAGCTGTGGACCGGCGGTTCGGTACTTTCTATGAGTGTTTGGAGGTGAGAGATGAGCCTTGCACCCAAATCCATTGCTGTCTTTCAGCAATGATAAAGCAGAGCCAAAGGCCTGTCCCCTTTGCGGAGCAGCATTGTTGGCCTGACCACGTCTGGGAGAGTTGGGGTGGTTTTGGTACAGCTGTTTTGAATCAGGCACCAGTTCTCTGCTGAAGGATGCCTCCTCCAGGCTTTGATAGCAAGGGGGTTTTCCTCTAGGAAATAGTGGTTTTCCTTTATGGACTTCAGACAGATCCCTGAGGTCTCCCTATCTCTGTGTGCCATCACCAGTCGGGATTTACGCTTCCTGGGGTGGCGGGGCCGGGGCGGAGGCCGGGCTGTGCCCGCAG